AGGGGAGCAGCAGATGAGGCTGGGTAGATGGGTAGAGGCAGAGTGTGCAGAGCACTGAGTCCATGACGACGACTTGCCTTTTGCCTTGAATGCTGTGCCCTTCCATCAGTAACTTTTGGGTGAAGTTGAAATTAATTTTTATTTGCTCACATGCTAGCGAGTTGCCCCTGTACTTACTGAATAATTATCTCTTACCCATGATTTCAAATGCAACTTTATCATGTATTGATTATATGTGTTTCTACAAACATATGTACATACATACACACATACATGTTTATCAACACTCTTCCATTGGTTTGTCTTCTTGCACATATACCATCCTGTTATAGTTACTATACAGTGCTTCCCTGTATCCATGGGGGATATGTTCTAAGACCTTCAGTGGATGCCTGAACCGCAGATTATATATATATATACACTATGTTTTCTCCTATACATACACACCCTTTTACTTAAAGGAAGCACTTTACAACTTCTCTTTGTTATATCCAAATTGCTAGCATCACTACTCTTGAGCTTTGGGGCCATTATTATTAAGTAAAATAAGGATCACTTAAACACAAGCACTGCAGTATCGTAACAGTCCATTTGGTACGTGACTAACAGGTCATGAGCTTATAGAGTGTGGATACACTGGACAAAGGGTTGGTTTACATTTAGGCATGCATGAGGTTTCATCACGCTATTCAGAATGGCACACAATTTAAAACTTTTAAATTGTTTATTTCTGGAATTTTCCATTTAATATTTTTGGACTGTGGTTGACTTTGGTCAGCTGAAACCACAGGAAGCAAAAGCATGGATAGGACTGACTACTGTACCTTTATATCAGGCATTGGCAAACTACAGTCCATGGGCCAAATCTGGTTCACCACCTAGTTTTTTATAAAGTTTTATTAGAACACAGCCACACTCATTTGTTTATGTATTGTTTATGGTTGCTTTTGAGCTCCAGTGGCAATGTAGTTGCAACCGAGATCATATAGCCCAAAAAGTCCAGAATATTAATGATCTGACCTTCTACAGAGGGTTTACCAACCTCTGCTTTACCCTATGTATTGATATCTGATAGGGCAAATTCTTCCTCATTCTTTCTCAACCATTTCTTGGCAAGTCTAGCATGTTTGTTCTTTCAGATGAACTTTAGAACCAGCCTGCCTCCCTTTCCCCACCTCTTTCTTGGGGTGGGGAACTGGGAGGAACAAAGAGTAGGAATTTGATTACATTTAATTTGTAGTTTAGTAAAGGGAGATATGTTTAACAATACTGGGTCTTTCCATTTCAGGAATATAATGTGTTTCAGTAAACTTTCATTGTTTCTTCACTTGAATGTTGCATATTTAAGTTTATTTCTACATGTATTACTGCTTTTTGTTGCTGTTATGATTGAGATCACTTCCCAGCTGTACTTTACAAGTGACTATGGTATGAAGAAAAGTTTTTGATTTTTATGCATTCAGATTGTTTCTGACCCTCTTATAGAAGTAAACTTCTATTAGGACTGTTAATTTTTAAATTTGATTTTTTTTGGTTGATGGTCATTGTCTGAACTTACCCGTAATTGTTTCATTCTGAATATTTATATCTTTGTGTATGTTGTGGGTAGTATGGGGGAATGGACTTTGACCTCTCAGTGGCATTCATTTTTTTCATGTTATATAGGTCACAGCAATTAAAAATAAACAAGCAAGCACCAGAAACTTTATGCCCAATCAGCTTTTGTTGGATGTTTTAAAAAATACCCAGACAATAATTTAAGCAAGCTATTTATCAAGCGGGCTGTGCCTTTTTACAGAGTCATTTGTTGCTTTTAATACAGAAGATAGAGTCTGCATGTCACACAGGAGAGTCAAATCCAGGCACTGCTTTCCTGTGGAGAGCCATTTGATCATGGAATAAAGTTGACTAACCTAGCATTATCCTTTGAAATTGAAATGTGAGCCAGAGATTTTTATGAGTCAGTTAGTGCTTTCCCAAGTATGTTCTCTGTAAAGCATTTGCTCTTTACCCTTAACATCTATTCCTTAAGGATGTAAAATCTGTTTTAGATTTTAGGGTCTATTACTTGCTCTGAGCCCTGAACAGATAAACCACAAACTTAATGTGTTAACCTTTGTGAATTTATCTTTTAATGCGATTTTTGTCTTTTTTCTTTAAATTTGTGTCTCCTCCTTAGTTTCTTCTTACTTTCATGAAACTAAAGAAAATTTCTTTATGTTGTTGGTTCCTTTGCTTTTTGCTTTTTGTATGTGTGTGTGAAGTGACAGTGAGGTGGTGATGGTAGTAAACATCTGATATGGAAATGGAGAATTGCTGTCATATATTTTGTGATTTGTGAAATGAATCTTGTTATTCTCATTGCCTGTAAAGTGAAACTTCGTGTACAGAACCTGCTTTTAAACGCCGCCCCACTATATCGAGATTATCTTCAACTATCATGAACATGGTGTACAAATATAGCAATGCCATCATAGGCTGTGGAGATGTACCAGGCCATGTGCCTCAATCACAGAGGGAGGGAGCACCAACTTTTGGGTTTCTGAGGTGGGGTTTTTTTGGACCTATGGAAATTAGAGACCATTTTAGATAGCTGTGTGGTATGGAAAATGGTATAAGCAAATATAGTGGTAATCGATATTTTTTATTGAGCACTTATTATGGTCCAGGCATTGTAATGAATGTCTGCCACATCTAGGCATTATAACCTCATTTTCCAGGTGACGACATAGAAATTTAGGTTAAGTAACTGGTAGACCTAAGATTCAAACCAGCTGTCAGACTCCAGAGAGAGGTACTAAAGAACAGTGGTATTTGGGCAGGAACTCTGTGTGTGTGTGTGTGTGTGTGTGTGTGTGTGTGTGTAGAAGGATTTAGCAATTTTAACTTGTTAAGATTCTTTTATGTGAATTTTGACAGTTGAATTAACATCAGGGTGGTGAAAAAAGTATAGCATGGGGGGCCTGCACGCCACATTGCTCTGTAATCTTCGGTGAGTCCCTTTCTCCCTCCCTCCTCTGAGGCCTCAGTTAAAAAAAAAAAGAATCGAGATCCTTAAGTTTTCTGTTTTTGTTTTTGTTCTTTGGGGGGCCCAAGAGTTTAACTCAGGATTTAATTTCAAGATGATAATGGAATGTATCATTTGTCTTCCTGTTTTTAAATTGAGAGAACAAAAAGGGGGGTTTGGGCTCAGTAGTAGATGCAGGGGGAGGGAGTGTTGTGTGGTTAAGCTCTTCATTGCCTCTTGCAGGTCATGAGAGAGCTGTTGCTTCTAGCTTTAGAGATCACTATCCATGTTTATTAAATATAAACATAAGTAAATACACACACATACATAATACAGACATGCACTTACTCCTGATACTTTAAACCTTCTCTGTGCAATGCACTAATTAAGATGGAAAAGGTTCTGTGCCACATTATGTCACCATTTACTTTAAATATGGCTAAGCTATTTAGATGCCAAACAATTAACACTTGTCTATATTTGAGGCCCATTTAGAACCTGAGGCCCTGCTGTGGTTGTCTCTCAGCCAAAACTCTCGTGGAGCATTCCCATTGGCTGTGGCCGTGGTGTTAGGTGTTTGGCTGCGGCCAGGTAGGCTGGAGCAGTACATGTGTACGAGTACATGTGTGGCCTGCTGCTCCTGACCGTGGAGTGTGAATGTCAGGACTCTGCTGCCTGCTGGCCCCTCTGCCCTGTAGGCCAGCCAAGAACTGGATTCCTGCCACGATTTAGAAAAGAAAGAAAAGCTTTCTAAATACTGGCAGGGAAATCAGCTTGCTTTCCAGATTCAAAGCAGCTGCCCAGAGAATCCAGTCCCCCTGCACAGACAACTTTTATTGTAGTCTTCCCTTTGGGTTTGTTCTTGGCATCTGATACATGCCCCAAATAAATATCCCAGTGAAGAGTGATTTTTTTTCTTTTCTATCAGGATGGCATAAGTTGGAGAGTTGCAGGTTTTTTTCTAGGTTGCTTTTAAGACTAACTTTTTGATAGTGAAGAAAAGCAACTAACATAAATCCTGATATTTTGTGAAAATACATCTGTTGCTGCTTATTCAAATGAGATTACTTACAGACTTTTAACTCACTTTTACATAGCCTACTATGCATGCAAGCATACCTTATAAAAATCATTCAACATTAGAAATTCAAAAGCCTAATGGCTTAACTGAAAGCGTTCTGTTGTGCAGGATTCTAAGATGGAGCAACCTAATTCTTCTCATGTCTGATTTAATGTGTAATTCTTCAACTATTGGTGATGATTCAATAGCTGGTGCATTCTTTGCTTTGGACATGTTTTTCTGAGTGTGATTTCTGCTTCTGTGTTTCTGGTTCCTTGGGACATTGAGTATTGCAGTACAAGTAACTATAGACTCCATTGTAGGGCTCAGCCTACCAAACTCAGTTTGCAGAATCATTTGTCTGTGTTTGACTAATGGAAGGGGGTGGGGGAGCTTAGGTTCCTCTTTTGCTCTCTCTGTTGTAGTAGAGCCAATAAAATAAATATACTGTAAGAACTGCCAAATAGTTGATATGCTTTTCTATTATTTTCTTGTGAGGAGCTTGATATTTTACTAGTAATTCTGAGGAAGAGAAAAGGAAAGAGAAAGTGAACACGTTTCATTTGAGATCTGCCTTCTATTTGTGTAACTTGTTTAATTTGCTAACATTATTGATATTCTTCTATTAAGTTCAGGTTCATTGTTGGTAGGATTGGATCACTACTGAAGTATTTCATTTTACCTTACAATTCACATGAAAATTTCATCAACTTTAACATTTGGTTGGGAATTTAACTTTATTTTCAGACTATTTCTTGGAGATAGGTCAGTAGTTGCATGTTGTATTTTATTTAATAAGTATCAAGTTAATGAAGATACTATTCAGTTACATCAAAACATTTGTTTATCATCAGTCTGAGCTTTCTTTTTTTTATAGTCTTTCCAGTTTGGGAAATAAATGACACTGAATTTTCCTCTTTTTCTTTTTTAAAGACTTTCAGCTGAATTCTCATCTCTCAACACTGGCAAATATTCATAAGATCTACCACACCCTTAATAAGCTAGTAAGTCAATCTTTTAATGACAAAACTACCAACTGTTTAAATAGTTGTTTTAAATGTAGTTGATAAAAGTTTAGTTTATAGATATTAAGATATCAGCTGCTTATGAAAATATTGAACTTTAAAACTTAGGATGGTATGTGATTTCTTGGTAATAATGAACTTATTTCTTGCAGAATCTAACAGAAGACGTTGGCCAAGACGATCACCAAACAGGTATCTAAATACTAACGCTACTCAATTTTAAAGAAACTTCCTAATATAAAGTTACAAGGGAGAAATATTAGCTGAGAATGCTCAGCATTTTAATACATTCCATTAACAAGTTGTTACTTGGTTGAGGACTTTTTCAGAGTGTATGAGGCAGCCATGTTACAGTTCCTTCGCAGCTGGAAATCTGTTCCGGGCTCTGGCTATGACAGAGAGAATACTTCTGTCCCTTTAGAGCGGATGTAGATTCTCCCTAGTGGTTTCAAGATATCATTTCTCTACTGAAGTATTTTAGTTTGTACTAAAAAGTTACTACAGTAATGCAATTTGAAAGATATTCTATAAATATTTATTGAATTGAGATGAAAAATGATTTCATAGGTGGGGTGTGTGTGTGTGTGTGTGTGTGTGTGTGTGTGTGTGTTGTATAGGTCCTGAGGATTTATGAATGGGAAAATTGAAACTTGATTATTGTAAGTGATTCTCTAGCCCTGTGGTTCTCAGGTTTTAGTTAGCATTATAATCACTTAGCTGGGCTTGTTAAAACAGATTGCTGGGTTCCACCCCCAGTGTTTCTGATCCCTATAGGTTTGGGGTGGGGCCCCAGTGTTTGCATATTTGACAAGCTTCTAGGAGATGCTGATGCAGGTGGTCTGGAGATCACACTTGGAGAAACACCTCTTTAAACTGTTGATAATCATAAAGTTTAGAAACTTGCACTTGATCTATAGTTGCTAAAACTTCCAGCACAAATTAAAATATACTTTAACTTTTTTGAAAATTATCACAATAATATATGAATACATGCTTGTTGGAGAATTTTGAATAGCATGAAAGTAAATTTAGGGGTAAAAAGTGACAGTCCCCTTTCACGTTTCCCAATCCAGCCTTCTCCCAGGTTAATGTTTGTTCTTTCAGATATTTTTATACATGCATATATTTTTATAGTAGTGTTTTGTTTTGTTTTTAGCATTGGTGAGATCATACTGTACATATTGTACAGCATCATTCTTTTTTCATTTAATGGTATATCTTGGAGGTTGTTGGGATTTGGAATTCTCCCCGCCCACCTCTCCAAATTGGTTCAGAATCAGTTGAAAATTAGACAACAAGATGGAGATTGAAGTAACAAGTTCATTGGAAAACACAGCTTAGTTCTGTAGCAAAAATGCAGAGGCTTTTCAGTATTTCACCTGAATTAGATACTAGCCTTACACTGAATCATCCCCACAACCAGATGAGCACAGGACAGCACACCCTCTGTTCCCTCTTGAACCCCCACTTGTGACAGTGGAAGGGCCTGAGCTTCTGTTGGCAGGCTGAGCTGAAAGGGAGTTCAAGAAGGGGCTGGGCCCCTCTACTCAGTTCCTTCTCCCTGGATCACCAGTTAGATCAGACACTGCTCCTTCCAGGGGAAGGAGTGAGACCAGGGGGCAGAGTCTGTGCCAGGAGTGTTCTAGAAGGCCAGGCCACAGATCCCCCTATAGCCGATCTTTTTGTTTTCGTAAATATAAATCAGTTGAAAGGCAGTCAAAAGCAGCTTCCTTAATATTTAAAAGCAATGTATGCACGGTTTTAAAAGAAGCGTCGAAAAGGTATAAAACAACAACAAAAAATGAAGGTTTCTGTCGCATTTTATTACCCCAGCTCCCGTCTCATCCCCGCTAGTACTATACATTTGACTCTCCACAGGTAACTCTTACATTCTTTTATTTGTTCCCAGATGGTGATGGTGATGATGATAATACATATTTCCCCCCAAATATAAGTGTACATCTGTATGTGCCTCTTGTTTTTGTCACTCAGGATATCTTGGAGATCTTTTCACAGTAACACATTTGTAAAGCATTTGCTTTATTTTTTAAACAATGCATAATCTTCTAATTCATGGATATATCATAATATGTCTCTATTGGTACACATTTAAGTGTGTTTAACTTTTAACTACTGATAATGCTGAAATAAAATTTTCAGGGCCAGTTTTAATAGTTAAGAAAAAAGCACACTTCTTTCCTATTCTGCAACAGTATGTTGGTAGGTTTTGGGAATTTTTTAATTTTAATTTTTAAATATATCTTTATTGATTTTAGAGAGAGGAAAGGAGAGGGAGAGAGAGATAGAAACATCAATGATGAGAGAGTCATTGATTGGCTAGCCTGCAACCCGGGCATGTGCCCTGACCGGGAATCGAACCCTGATCGCCTGGATCCAAGGTCGACGCTCAACTGCTGAACCACGCCTGGCCGGGTGGTTTTGGGGATTTTTAAAACTGAATTTTGTTTTTGTAAATCCTTTAGGTTGTCCTCCCCTTAGCTAAGGTAATAAAACCTCTAAGTTCTGGATATTGTACATTATGTAGTTAACTTTGAACTTTGGATTAAAAAGAATATGGTTACTCTAGTAATTTCACATTTAAATATTTTATCTGAATGTGGCAGTTTAATAACTCTAAGGAAAATGAAAGTGGAAAGTGTGTTTGGCCGCATGCCTCCTCTCTCACCCCTGGGGATAGTGGGTATGTCTGATGTTTGGTATGTGACATGCTGGTGCAGTGCCTGGTACCTCGTAAGTGCTGTCAATGTCAATTAGTGTTAGTAATTTCTAAGAGTTGTCAATTTCATTAACATTTCTACATCTGGTTATTGCATCACTGGTGATTATTATACCTGACAGAGTATACTTTAAAAATGAAGCAACATAAAATGTATAATGTTTAGGAATCTGAGGCAGTTAATCACTGTAATGCCTGTTCGAATCTCTTTCCCAACAATCGTCTGAGCAATAGCTGTAACAACTGTGTATGGAAGAGCCAAACGCCAAGTGCAAAAGAGGCCGGCATCTTCCTGCTCTGTTTCCACCACTTTTCTTGGGTGCTTTCAATCTTCCTACCACCAAAAGAAAAAAAGTAAGAGAGAGACAGTTAATATTGGAGAAGTTCCCCAAAATACTAGGAGCAAGTAAAAAATACCAGGGAGGCAAAAAATGGTGAAGAAAGATGACAGATGTCAATATTATTTAGAGAGAAAGGAAAGGAAAATTGTTTGCCTTAAATAGTGGGATAAAAATTGTGCATTTAGACAAACTAGTAGTTTTACTGAAGCAAGCAAGTAGTTCAACGACCGTTCAAGAAAGTGAAATAAAATATTAGGTACTGGTAAGGTGTCTTAAAATGCAACCTATTTATCAGCTCAAATTGTTACATCTTTGTGACATTGTTCAGTGACAAGTGAGGTTGAAATAGCTATCTAAAAAGTATTGAAGTGGCACATTGAACCATGTAAAATGTTATTAAGTGAAACAAAGCTACATGATACAACAAAGTCACCAAAATGAAGAATTAGACAGTAAGGTTTTTGTATTGGAACATGAATTTATACTAAGTTTGGAAAAGTCAGAAAAATTCTCTGATTTTATAGACCTTTTATTAGAAATTGGGCACACGATTTTATGTGTTTTACAGAAAATGAATCCTAAACAGGACTTTTTTTCACTTGAGACCCACAAGTGGAAAGATTTAAAAATAATAGAGGCAATGGAGCACCTACTTAGGTAGCATTATTGAGAATAACATGCTTAGTTAAATCATTATCAAAACAAAAACAGCAAGCTGGGTAGTAGACATTAAAGGGCCTTGGGTCTGATTCAGGTAAACTCAAGTTGCTTTTTAAAATGATTTTCTGGGACCAAATATCAGGATAGATCTGTTGAACAATGTTGTCAGTATTTCTAATTGTTTAATGTGGGGAGAATGGCTATATTCATTCAGTACCTGATTTATTTGAAAATATAGCTGGTTAATAGAACAATTTTTTTGTTCTCTTTGAACACTGAACCAAAAGGAAATAAACCTGAACTCAAATCATAACCCTTGTATAAAAAATATAAAAAAATTGTCTTCCTAGGGATCATATAAATATGAAAGCATCAAGAAAGAGCTTCTAATCATGGGAGAGTTGGGAGGGCTTTTACTCACTGTTCATTTAATATAGAAATAGTTAGACTGAACACCGGAAGATCAACCACAATAATAATAGTAAGGGGCCTGAATCATAGTTTGGGACTACTGGTTGAGATTATTCTTCTCCTATTCCTCACTCTTTGTTATTATTATAAAAGGCTTTCCTCTTTCATATGTTCCTGCCAAACATTTCTTATGAGATTTAAGGTAGCTCCCCAGAATCTTTATCACTGCTTTTCCTTGGTGAGTGTAAGAAAATGAAAACTTGCAGCTCTGATCATTTCACATGAATTTCTGGGTTTCTTAAAGCTTGTTAGAAAGTTGCTTTTATTTGAAACATCAACCTTAATATTTTGCCTCTGCCGGTAATATCAGATTGTACTCAAGTAGATACTTTAAAGGGTTAAAATAGGTCATTCTTTAAAGCAGATAAACATTCCATAACATGCTTGTTTATATTATTTGCTTACTAAATTTTTTTAGTTTAAAGATAGTCTAATTGAAGTAGATTGTGATAAAGGTTCTGAGACAAAATGTGTGAATTTAAAACTCTACAAATAGCCCCACTGGCGTGGCTCAGCGGTTGAGCATCCACCTATGATCCAGGAGATTGCAGTTCCATTTCTGGTCAGGGCACAGGCCCGGGTTGCGGGCTCCATCCCTAGTGGGGGTCGCTCAGGAGGCAGCCGATCCATGACTCTCTCATCATTGATGCTTCTATCTCTCTCTCTCCTTTTCCCTTAAATTTAACAATAAGGACATTTAAAAACAAACAAAACTATACAAATAAATACAAATTTGTAAAATATATTTGCTTAAATTTAAGTATTCTTATTATAAAAAGACATCACAGTTATTTTAAGAAGCAAACATTCTAGAATATGTGTTTTAAAAAAATCCTACCTGCCAAGAAACTTAAAGTCAAGTGTTTGTTTTACTGAGAAATGGAAAAAAGTCTGAAGTTACAGTGTATTATTTATTCATAAGGGTTTTAAATCTCGGGAAATGTATGGCTTTTTTTTTTTTTTTTTTTTTGCAGAATTTGATTTAC